AACTCGGGAAACACTATTTTGGGCTGATCTGTAATTGTGTTTTAGTATATGTACATTTTGCTTTAGATTCTGTGTCTTAAGATTTTATATGCTTCATGTTTGGAGAGGCGGCATCTTGCGCCTTCCCAAGGGACTGATTATGTAATTTCTTTCTGATTTAATGGAAATATGATATTTTATCTATCAAAAAAAAGGGAAGATTAGGGCCCTGGTTTCCCGCTAGGTTTGCTGATACTCGTGTTGCGGTTGTATCAGTTGCAAAGCTGTCCGGTTTTTTGATCCTAGAGGTGTTATCATTCTTTTTTGTTTTTTAAGTCTTGTAGTTGGTGGAGGTTTGAAGTCAGTAGTCATGTTATCTCTTGGGTGATAGCTTATCACCTTCCTTGTGTTCTTTTTATTTTAAAGAAATTTTTATTTTACTTTTCAAAAAAAAGGACTTGGAAAAACCACAAAATTTCCCTTGTTTTCTGAACCTGGAATATGAAATGTTTCATGATAACCTGATACTTTGGATTTTGGAAATTTCACAACAGGTCTTCTTTGCTGTGGTGGGTGCAAATGGGAGTGTATGTGATGTTATCAATACTTCTCCCAGCATTTTATTGTTTGCTCTGCTCCAAGTATCCATCCATCTCATGGTGATCCTTGGACTTGGAAAGCTACTACGATTTGACCAGAAGCTGTTGCTGTTGGCATCAAATGCCAATATTGGAGGCCCTACAACAGCATGTGGGATGGCCACAGCAAAAGGATGGGACACTCTGGTTGTTCCTGGGGTTCTTGCCGGAATATTTGGAATTGCTATTGCAACTTTTCTCGGTATTGGGTTTGGATTGGTGGTTCTTAAGAATATATAAACATCTCAAATGTTGCACAATTTTGATATTGAAAGTTCTTTTTTATTTAATTATTGATAAGAAAGGATTAGTGTTCAAGTAGATTGAAAACTTACGTTGTATATGGATCCATCATTAACAAATGAAAGTACATGCAACACTCATTGTTTCCAACGATTAACCTTTCATTGGATTTGTGTGTATGTATTCTTTTTCAATTAAAAATTAAACGGCTGCATCTCTGAGCAGTACAAGTTCTTTTCCTTTCTCCTTGTTGACATTGAACAGTTACTTTAGTGTACTTTTTTTTCTAAAAAAAATCATAAAGGGAAGAATATTTTAAATTTGTATTTTCTATGAATTTTCGAATTTTCTAATTTCATTTGTATTTTCTGACCTTCCTTTTTTTTGAAGATATAGATTTTTGGTGGGTTGAGTTTAGTTCAGTTGTATATTGATAGAAGGGCCTGTCAATCACTTGACTGGGCTAGACTGTCAAGCAGCCAAGATTGTGGCAAAACCCAGACCAAGTTTGTGCAGGCCACTCGAATTTGATTAAAGCTATGACTACTGGCTAAGTGGCTATTACCAGCAGCAAAGCAATACATAAAGGTGCTTAGATGCTTTTTGGTTTAGGAATTAAGTAGGGATAGAATGAAGCAAAGCATTTCTATTAAAAAAAGTAATTTTAATTTTCGTTTTTTGGTTGCCAAGGATGATGGAGTTGCGTTGGCAGTGCGGGTCTTCTCTTAACCCCGCTTGGACAAGCCATTAGAGTTTTACTTCATTAATTTGGGAATTTTATAACTTTTTTGTTCAACAGTTTGGCCTTTTAACAAGTGTTTTTCCTCTCTCTTGCTGATTGCTTGTATCCTCTCCATTGTAATCTGAGCAATTTATGAATGAAATTTGTCTTTTCTGGCTTCAAAACAAGTGATTAACTTGATGGGTTGTTTTTGATTGTGTTGTGAATACACACTTGTATAACGGGCTATTTGACCAATCGTGAATGAACGCGCCAGTATAAATTTATACACATGGGACTTATCGGATGTTCTATATCCCATTGTGAAATAGGGGAATATCAAACAATCTTGAGTCAACGTAATTTATGGATGAGTTGGAATTGATTTTCAAATTTGGAGCTCTATAAATTCAATTCTATCAATACGACGACCTTCACAGTGTATTGTGGAATGAAAGCAGGAAATCAGTAAAAGGTTCGATGGAAAGTCTGCACAGCTGAGAGCTATCCCTTGGCCTTGATGAAAGTTTTTGGGCCGAATAAGGATGGGTTACTCAGTTCCTGACAGAATGCACCCCACACGTGCCTCACAGCACATCCACTCCTTCCAATGCACGCTGAGATGTGCATGTGGGATGTGGGGTTTATGGTCCGTGGGGAGCCAATCTGAATTCTTGCCCGACCGAGCAATGCCAGCATCACAGGCCTCGTACAGCACGGAAACAAAGCGTGAATTTCTAACGCGTTTCACTTTTATCATATGGACCCTCCAACTCCAAGTTCCTGAGCTCCAACAGAAAAATTCCAATCCAACAGTTTCTTGGAGTTGAAAAGGACATCCTCCTCCAAAACTTTGTCTACTTTCAGAGTGACGACTGACGATTGACTATTTGCCAATGATTGAACAGATCTCTCTCTGTGACTCTGTCTCCAATTTCGATCTTCGACTCAACTCAACTGCACAGACAGCTGATTTGATGTCATCTCGTCGGAGGTTCCCTCTCTCTCTCTCTCTCTCTCTCTCTCTCTCTCCATCTCGGTGCCCGACCCAAGTAGCCCTAGCACGTACCAGTTAGCACCGAGACGGAGAGTAACGCCCAACTAATCAATCCATTCATCGTTAATGGCGTCCTCGTTATCGTTTCTATGCACCACTTATTCTCCATCTTCGTTACTCATCTCGCCAAGATCAATCCTCTACTCCCGCCATATTCTTCCAACGGTCTCAACGACCACAACTACCTCTGCCATTTCTCAGCAACAGCAACCATTTTCCTCAACATACAAAACATTCCTTTCACCTTCCACTTTCCCTAAGGGGAATCCTGATTTGAACCGATCAGTAAAGACCAAAGCTCAATTAAGCTTCCCTCTCATTTCTCCTAAGGACCATTGGGGAACATGGACTGCTCTCTTCGTTTCCAGCGCTTTCGGTATCTGGTAATTATCTTGTTATCTTCAAGTGTTCTGCCTAGAGTTTGGGATTTTGATTCTTCCAATTCGTGATGTATATATATTCTACCTCTCTCTCTCTCTCTCTCTCGTTTAACTTTTGTTTGATTTGGGCCTTGGGGGGCTTTGGAGTCGAAGGTCGGAGAAGACCAAAGTCGGGAGTGCTCTGAGTGGCGCACTGGTAAGCACTCTGGTTGGGCTTGGAGCGAGCAATCTCGGGATTATATCTTGCGAAGCTCCGGCGTATTCGCTCGTGATGGAGTATCTGCTCCCTATGGCTGTTCCATTGTTGTTATTTAGAGCCGACTTGCGTCGTGTCATACTCTCGACCGGCACATTACTCTCAGCATTCTTGCTTGGATCAGGTATTACTTGTCTACACTGCAATTATTTTTTCTTTCTCTTTCTGCTAGATTAAATTGTTCATGAAGCTTTATCTTCGATTGAATTCTACAATGAGGGAAAAGCCTGTCATGCTCTACCATGACCTGCGCTTTTAACAAGATAAAATGATGCAATATATAATTTTGCATGACACATGGAGGAAAAAAAATCAGCGCTTAAAACTGCCATGCTCTATCATGTTTTATAGAAATATTATCACATTAATCATGTTATGAATATCATATAATTCATATTTGTCTTTCTGTTTATTATTCGAATAGCCTGGTATTTATAGAATAATTGGGTCTGAGATGCTAACAAGCAGGAGGTAAGGCATACTTCCAGTCTATATTATTAACTATCCTTTGTTTTCTGGTTAAGTGGTGGTTGCCATGGCTTGTGAGTTGTGATATACATTGTAATTGAAAAATTCAATGTTTTCTCTTCATGCTTTATTACATAAAATGACACAAGCATAAAAGTAAACTGACAAATTACAGCCTCCAATACAATTACAATGGCCTTGTAGATTAATATGAGGTATAATATAGAATATTAACTTATCGTCTTTTACAGGAATGGACTTGGCAATTTATATTTTAAGCAATGCTAATATCACAGGAGTGAGCACCATGGAGGTCCTTAAATCACGAAAAGAGAAAACATAAATAAGGGTCATATGTGCATATTATTGTGAGGTGTTGCATTTTTTCCCTCTGTGATTTAAGGCCTACATACACTCGTTCCCTTGACATAAGCATTGTTCCTTGGTTTTTCTAAAAGACATCTTGTTTTTTTTTTTTAAATCTTCTCCCCTTTATTCAAGAACCTGTTCTTTTCATACATACAATGGATTAGGGTTTTACTTTAAGTTAATGTATCCTTTCTGTTATGACAGTTGCAACAACAATTGGAACAATAGTGGCATATCTAATGGTGCCAATGCGATCACTTGGTCATGATAATTGGAAGATAGCTGCTGCTCTCATGGGGAGGCATATTGGTGGAGGTAATTTCTAGGAGATGATGTTATATCTTTTTGGGCATACACATTACATTGTGACAAACACACCCAACTCAACTAAGCCTTGTCCTAACTATATGGGGTTGGCAACTTGACATACATCATATTGACAGACTGTTTCATGATGCTGAAGATCTCTATCTACCAACTTCATGAGGAAATGGATCAAATTAATTTTCTGTGTCTTTTATTGCTAATTTTTTTTTTTTTTTTTTGTGTGTCAAAACTGTTTGATCTTATATTGCTACCACAGACAGGCTGGTTCTGTTGAGGCAGAGCTTATGGCCTTTCTGTTCAGCCCTAGGTTTGCTATTTCTTGGAGGCCCTCCTTTCTCTTGATAGAGGGTATTTGAAAACTGTTATCAGATGGGTCCCAGGAAGGGCCATTGGAGTTTGTCCTACACTTAATGCAATCATTGATTTTTGTTGTCTGTTTTGACTTTTGAGAGATGGTTCTTAAGGAGCTGAATGTCACATTAGATTTGCACAAAAAAAGTCATATTGGATGAATGAGTAAGATCGAGAATAAGTCAGGGAAGTTAAAATTGTAGTATCATTCTTGTATATACAAAAAAGGGAGAGTTTTGGGGGGGAGGGGTCGACAAACCATCTGCCTCCCTGGGAAAGTACTCCCATTATTCCATAGAGCAGAAAACTACTCCTATACATTACCCCTTCACAAATTTCATTAGTATATAAAAACTATTGTGGTCCAATAATTTTATTTATTTTATTTTTCTCTTAGTGTGTGTGGTTGGGGAGGGTGGGAGAGGAGGGGAGTTAAGGTCAGTTGACCTTGACCCTCACTGTACAGACTTAAAATGAATAGAATGGAGTGGCCAACAGTGATTAAGCCTGAATCTCAACCGAACATGTTGAATATGGATCAGATGTACTTAAAAATTTTCATACTGAAATAAGAGCTTTAAAGTGTAAGAAATTATAGGAGTTTTCTAGATATAACTGCACTTATTAAATAAATCAGGTGAAATAATGAAAGAATGCTATGGAAATATTAAATATATTCTATACTCCTAGGTCTTGGGTTTGGTCAATCCCAAGACTGTGGCTCATGCTGCTATCTATGTATAAATGGTATAGTTGCTTAAAGTTGTCCATGAGATCATCAGAAAGTTGTTTACAGAATTTTATTGTTGGAAAACCTTATATTCTAGACCCAAAATACATCTCCAGAATTGCTTCTTTAATAACTCATATTTGAATTATTAGAGAAGCAATTTCCTTTTGAAGACTTGTCAAGAGAAAAGAAGAACTCATATTTGAAGTTTTCATTTATGTGGTATGAATAGTCCAATGCCGGTTGTGTTTTCTTTCCTTTTTTCCTCTGTCAAGCTCTATATCATTGCTGATGAAGTTTGATTTTCTGCAGCTGTCAATTATGTTGCTATTTCTGAGGCTCTAGCTGTTTCTCCATCAGTTTTGGCTGCTGGACTTGCTGCAGACAATGTCATTTGTGCTATATATTTTACATCACTTTTTGCATTAGCATCTCAAATACCTCCTGAGTCCACAACACCAACCAATGGTTTGTACTTGTATTACTATCAACTGTAAAACCATCCTAATTTAGATACTAGTCTGGAGATCCTTTAGCTTATTATATAATGTAAACTATTAATAAGATGATGGACTAATATGCAGACTACATAGTGCAACATCTGCAGTAGTATAGACTAAACTCCTTGTCCCCCAGTTTGTGCCTGCACTCTGTGGATGCTTATCCAGATCTCCATACTGTGTGATTCAAGAGTCAGATAAAGGATATCCAAATATGACCAAATGTTTTGTGCCCTTTCAACTTGAAGGGTATCTTCAGACTGGTGGAAATGAAATTGAGGGACCAATTTAAAAGTTCCCCAATTCAACAGTATGGATCTATTTATAGCAGAGTGGATCAGTGGACTATGAAAACTAGAGGTTTCTAAAGTTGTCCATTCCACCAATAATTCCCCCTTTTCAGGGGTTGGGGGCTGCATGTGAATTTAGTTCCATTTCCATCCCTATAATCCAATCAGGGCCTAAGCTTTTCTGCCCCTTGCTTGAGTTTGATGGAAGTGGAACAAAGAATGGAGCTTTTTGTATTTCATTTTTTCTACTCTTATCATGCAAAGTTGCAAACTAAAAGGCTTTTACTTTGAGATATCTGCATCTCAACTATCTAGTTTAAAAATCATAGGATGATTCATATTACTTGCTTAACAATGTATCATGGCACTTAGTATAAAAGAATAAACTAACTTAATGTTTGACGGTATTATTATAAAGAAATTACTCTTTGATGAAAATTTTGCTCTTGACAGATGATGTAATAGATACAGAGTCCCAGATTGGGAACAAGCTACCTGTGCTACAGACCGCAACTGCTCTTGCTGTATCTTTTGCTATCTGCAAGACCGGCACTTATCTCTCAAAGCTGTTGGGAATTCAAGGAGGCAACCTTCCATGCATAACAGCAATAGTTGTTATATTGGCAACTATTTTTCCAGCACAATTTGGCTACCTTGCACCTGCTGGTGAGGCTGTTGCTCTAATTCTGATGCAGGTAAGCAACAGCAACAACAATAACAATAATGAGATAAAGATAAATAGTTACCTGGTTTTCAATGTCAATTTGTATCATAATAATTGATTTGCTTATTGACAAAAGAAGCTTATTTTACAATAGAACACCCTAGAACACCACCTACTGTTGAAAAGTTCTTGAATCAGAAAATAATGATAAGTTGTATCATATTAAGAGTCGATTTATGTGTTAAAAAATGTGATTACCCAGTGTTGGTCCCAGTTATCTAGAGTCTTGGGAGGGTAAACCGTAAACTGGATACAGGCCTAACCTATGGCATTTTTTTTTTAAACTTCTTTGCACAAAGTGGCCACTCTCAGACTCAAACCCATGTTTTTCAGATCCTTAAAGTTGCTCTTGTGTTACTTCTTACCGGTGCTGTTGAACATGAAGTGAACCAAGCCATGATATGAAGAATCACTAATTTCTAACCTGCCTATTTGGTATTCATATTGCTGCTGATCTGATATGAATTCCTGTATTTGCTGGTCAAAACAGGTATTTTTTGCTGTGGTGGGTGCAAATGGGAGCATATGGAATGTTATTAACACAGCCCCCAGTATTTTCATGTTTTCTCTGGTCCAGATAGCTGTCCATCTGGCTGTAATCCTTGGAGTGGGAAAACTAATGCAATTTGACCAGAAACTTTTATTGTTGGCATCAAATGCCAATGTCGGAGGCCCTGCAACAGCATGTGGGATGGCCAGCACCAAAGGATGGGGCTCTTTGGTTGTTCCTGGGATCCTTGCAGGCATACTTGGCATTGCAATTGCAACTTTTCTTGGCATTGGTTTTGGAGCTATGGTTCTTAAAAACATCTAAGCACTTCTTTTATTGTATATACAACAATTTCACTGCTATTCTAGCATTCTACATTAGCTCATTAAGAGTTGGAGGTGCTAAATTGTCTGTGTGCTTGCACTTGGTAGTGGTGGTATTGATCACAGCTTGGTCGTCTACATTAATCTAGGAACTTAGTTGCTTATGTGTGGGTCTGCAGGAACATGGAGATGGGGATGAATACAAAATGTACGAGGTTTACATACTAGCATGCTTATATACAGTACCATTGATCTGGGAGGAAAACCCCTATTTTATTGTGCATTTTAATGGTTCCCTATTATTTGCCATAATGTTTAATTCTGTTTATTTACCTGTAATGATCCTATAACCCATAAATCAATACATATTCTGCATGCTAGACACGTATGTCACAGAGAACAAACCAAATGCAGAAAAAAATGCATGAATTATTCATATATATAATTCATGTTCTTGAAGTTTAAATTTCTTTCAAATCTGAGTGACGTGGCTTTGTTGCTCACCGTTGAAAGGGAAGGGAATTCAGAGGGGCTTCCCACAAGGCATGCCCCACAAGTGCATCCCTCATGTATTGGAAACATCTCCCGTGCTTGTCATGGGGAGATGTTCCCAGTGCACGGAGGGAATGTACTGGAATCTGCATTAGCACCCCGTAGGGCGTGCCCCATAACATGTATTGGAAACATCTTCTAATGATAATTAGAGGCAATGTTCTGAATGCATGCTGTGACACTCGGGATCTGCTACTTACAAGTTATTCTCACATCACCGCCGTGTATTGGCATTGGGAACATCTCCCATAAATGATAAAGGAGATATTCCCAATGCAAGCATTAATTATTCATGGGTAGGTGGGGATGTGAGAACTACTAGTGGGTAGTAGATCCCATGCTGAGATGTACATGTAACATGCCAATGTGAACTTTGTAGGGTATATGCGGAGACTCGGGAGATCTCATACATGGGCGCTTCACACCGACCTCCACCGTGCATTGGGAGCACCTCCTCTCAATAATAACTTTAAGTAGGGGAGATGTTTCCAATGTATGCTAGGATGTGAGATCGGTGTGAGGCGCCCTGGGTGAGGAGCAGATGCGATCTCTATCCGGATCTGGTCGGTTGACACCCAGTCCCAACCTATCCCTCCAAAAGACTTGGACGTTTCAGTATTTAACCGTGACGACTCACCTCTCAAGTCTCAAGTAATTAATGAACGATCAGATCTTTCTTCGATTCCGGAGTCAACTCTACTTCAGGTTTGTGGTCAAGTAGTCAAATGTTCTCCGAATCCTCCCCTCTCTCACACACCCCCCCTACCAAGTACCAAGTTCCAGGCTTCCAACTATTACTCAGAGACGAATAGAGCAAAAACCCAAACAATCAATCCGTAGATAAATCAATGGGGGCGTCCCAATTATCGTTTCTGTGTACTACTCGTCCTCCATCATCACAACCTATCTCCCTAAAATCATCGACCCTCTTTTACCGCCATATTCTTCCATCGGTCTCAACGACCTCGACATCCTCTTCTTTCTCTCGGCAACCATTTCCTTCCAGAAGCAAAACCCTTATTTCGCCTCTCACCATCCCTAAGAATCATGGACCTGTTCCTTCCCTAAAGACCAGGGCTCAATTGAACTTCCCTCTCATTTCTCCAAAGGACCATTGGGGAACATGGACTGCTCTCTTCGCTACCAGCGCTTTCGGTATCTGGTAATTTCTGTCGCCCACAACACGGATTTCTGTTTCTACCGAGGGTTCTAGTACTTCCAGTTTGTAATTTTTCTTTTCTTGAGACTTTGTTTGGTTTGAGATCGTAGGTCAGAAAAAACCAAGATCGGGAGTGCACTGAGTGGCTCCTTGGTGAGCATTTTGGTTGGGCTTGCAGCGAGCAATATCGGGATCATTTCTTGTGAAGCTCCTGCATATTCAGTCGTAATGGAGTATCTGCTCCCTATGGCTGTTCCGTTATTGTTGTTTAGAGCGGACTTGCGTCGTGTAATAATGTCAACTGGGACATTACTCTTGGCATTCTTGCTTGGATCAGGTTATACTTGTTTACATTGCAATAGCTTTCTCTTTCTCTATTTTTACTAATCGAATTGTTTATAAACGAAGCTTTAGCGTCTTGTGGGCTTGGTTGATTGATATGTCTGCTCTACTAGGAAGGCTGTATGGTCTACTGTTCACTATGTTCTAAACTATCTATTCTCGTTTTGTACGTATATACTGAAAACTAGAAAAATAAGCTGCTTTTAAGTGTTGCTTGTCTTGAATTCGTAGTGAACTTTTATGATTACGATAAAGAAAGAAGAGGCTAACATAAGGAAAATCTGTTTTTAGCACTTTACTGTACACGAATACCACCTATTTAAGTTAGTTTATATATGATCCAAAGATAGTCCTCGTTGTGCCAAAGTAATGAATCCAGAATAATATCCTAATTATAAGAGGCTGCTCACAAAAAAATTTTAACATGGAAAACCCCTTATGAAGATAAAAACCACATGACCAAGTCCAGAAAGCTTCCACTATAACAAATAATAACGAGTTCATAAATCCTGTCCAGTGACTCCACTCATGCCATAGGCCAACAATCATCAAGAGTAGAATGACTATTAGGTACCACCAACAACAATGATCTCAACAAGATAAGTGAAAAGATCTCACTGGAACTGGAAGCCTGCTGATGAGACAGAAACATCCACCAAGAGGATCACCCTTGGTGAAAACCCCATATTAATGGTCTGATCACCCCTCTCTTTTCAAGAGGATCACCAAGAAAACCCTATTCTTTCTTCTCTCCTCCCAGAGGTTAATCCGACTTTTCTTTTTTCTCATGAAAAATATATTGGAATATTATTACCCAATATTTCAACCTTCTAAAAACTAAGTCAGCAACATAATAGTAGAAAGTAGTTGCACACTTGTACTTCAATAAGGAAACTATATATAATTAAATGAAGTTAGTCATTTGGTCTCTTTTTCTTAAGCCCAAAGATATTAGGTTCCCATGGGGAGGGAACCCTAGTATTGACCTACCCATGAAAAGAGAAAAACTTCACGAATTGAATTTGCTTTTTCTTGATTCACTTCAGATTTTGGGAGCAGCAGCTTGTCGTCAAGTGGAATAAAGCCATAACTTACTGGATTTCAAAACCAAACCTGGGTCCAATTCTACCAAGGAACTTGAGGGACCACAATACCACATTTCAAGACTTCAGGTTAGTTTTGAAGATCACAATAAGCAAAAATATCTGGCCTTTTTCTTAGTTTACCACCAGTTGTTGCAGGACATTCAACCACTTGATATTTCTTTTTTACCTTGGAGTTTTTATGCTGAACTAATTTACTCAAAGGGCTAGACTGTCATAGTTTTCCAAAGAACATGTGCATAATAAGATCATGGATATCTAACTTGGAACTTGTTTTTTGGTTTCTAATTTTTCTGATAGTGCCTGTTTCTTGTTTTAAGATATTTTGGTTTATTTAATACATGTTTACTAAATATTTAGGAGTTCAAATATCTGTACGTGCACATGCATAAAAAATTATTAATTCGTGGATACACACACATAAATGTATGCATGTGTCCACTATTATCTCTTTCCTGTTATAATAACACATATGGCTTTTGAGAAATTATTAATTATTAGAAAGTGTATATGTATATCTGTCTCAACATACATTGGAATTTGGATTAGCTGAATGCTTTGACTGTGTAGCAGGCTGTGGGACATTATCATTGGTCCCATGTATTTAATGACTGGTGTGGGGCATTATCATTGGTCCCACAGCTTGCTCAACATCTGTTGCATTTAGCTAATCCTATCTCCATAAATTGCTCTTTGGGAGTTTGCATATCTTAACATTAAAAGCTGCTTTTGAAATTGGCATACAATAGGATTTTAATTCTTCATTTGGATGTTTGGACATTAAATGTTTTTTCAATCTATATCTGCATACTGAGATATAGCATGTTTTATATAATTCAGTATGCTTTTTTTTTTTAAAGTTTAGATGGCTAGTCTATTTAAAATTATTGTACATTTGGTTGTGTTGGGATGATGTACTTGCCAGGAACATATAAACCAAAGAATTTTACATTAGGGGGCTGAAATTTCACATTATGAAACAATTCATAAATCAGAGTATTCTGAAACTTTTTCTGAAGGATGTCGTGTATCTGTTTGTGAGATGATTTTTAGCTAGTAAATTTTTGGTTTGTAGAAGTTTGCTGTTGTAGTTTGATGATGATTCTCAGACCTGTGCTTTTTCAAGCACTCAATTGTACATACCTTATTTAAAATAACTCATTTTGCTTTGTGCATAAAGAGGGAAAAAGTTGCAATCTAAAGGCTATCTTGATTTCTCAAGAAAAAAATGTTAATCATGCTATAACTATCATATTTTATTTTCTGTCTATTTCCTTTCACAGCCTATTTCTCCTGTATAATTGGATGTAGGATGCTAACAAATAAGATTGATATTTTTGCTAACAAATAAGATCAAAAGCTGGCAATTCGATTGATATTTTTGCTGCAGTTTGGTCTTGTTTTGTTTTCTCAGGTCAAGTGATTCGAGTCTGATGAAAGTTTTATGGGAGGGGATGGGTTTTCAATTTTGTAACGTGGATAATTGAAGTTGGGTGGTTTTTGTTCTTGTTGATGTTAGTGTGGTGATATCTTATCATCCTCCCAGATTGTACTCTTTTTCCTTTCAATGATTTTTTATTCTACTTTCAAAAAAAAAAAAATCAAATAGGAGGTAAACCATACTTTTCAGCTTATTAGTTATCCCTTTCTTCTTATCTGGTTGACAGGTCATTTTATATCTAACTCTATTGTATATACAAATAATTGACATTTTCTTTTCATATTGCATAAAGAGGACATAAGTGTAGAAATGAAATCGTACCTTAAAAGAAGCCCCAATTTAATGATAATGTCTTTGTAGATCCATATGGTACACAAGAGAATATACTTTTTTTTGGTATACAAGATAGAATATTGACTGTTAGTCTTTTACAGAGACAGTATTTGCAGTTTAGAATTTTTTGAAGTATCTTTCTTTTCATACATACAATGAGTTAGGGTGTCCTGCAGGTTAATGTATATCTTTTCTGGTTTTACAGTTGCAACGACTATTGGAACATTAGTTGCATACCTATTGGTGCCTATGCGATCACTTGGGCAGGATAGTTGGAAGATAGCAGCTGCCCTCATGGGCAGGCATATTGGTGGAGGTAATTTTTTAGGAAGTCTTGTTGCAGTTTATCGAGAACAAGTTTCTCATGACCAAAACAATGTGATAAATCATGTATTATTGATATTGACGTTATGTTTCTGTTATATAAGTTACTAATTACTTCTGCATCTTCAGTTCATTACTTATCTTTGTGTTACAAACTCAAAGCATATTGTTCTTAGTGTATACTGTTTGATATGGTTGCAACTTTGCATAATGGGTCAAGAGTTCCATCAAATGTTATCATGAGACAATCAATCACAAAAGAATACCTAATATATAAATCTTCATTCTTCAATTTGCATGGTTTGTTAACTTTCTTTCTTATTTCTTCTTTCCCTGCTTCACCATTGATTAATGCTGCCGAATAACCCTATTTACTAAACTCTAGCAGAACCTGAGTTAAAATGTTTTTCTGTGGAAACACGGTTTGGACTACCATTGGTGTCCTAGTGTGGGTAATTATACCAAGGAAGACTTGATGAACTTTCTATTCAATTCTAGAGGTTCTATTTCTCAAAGGCCATTTTCCCTTGTGGTATAGGGGGACTTGGGAAATGTTGTCAGATGTGTGTGTGTGTTGTGTTTTGAGATTGATTTTTATGAAGCTGACCTACTTCTGATAAATGGTAACATCAGGGATTAATTAGGGAAGTTCATTCTAATATATCATAGGAAGCTGAATACCATCATAGGAAATTTGTAAATCTATATGATTGTACAACTTTTTGTTGTTCTTTTGGTTTGATGTCCATTCTTGTATATCATATTTTGCTAACAAATTTTGTGTAGTACTTATGAATGAAAAATCTGAAATCTTTTCCCTTTCCTCTCTCTCTATATTAGTTTTATTGACATACGAAAAAATGTGAGTACATCAGTTGTTAATTTTTAATTTATTATTTATCTTTGTGGGATGAGTAGCAAGCCTCACCCCTGATAGAAATGTCTTAATTGAGGCAAATGGACCTCTCTGATGGTGCATGATCTGGAAGTTCCTAGCTGGAGAACTGCCTGGATGTACTCACGTGGCGAGTTGGATCAATCTGTAAAACAATGCTCAGAGGGACTAGGGTGGAAGACCCGGTGAGGTCGCTTCGATGCCTAAGTCAGTAATCTGTGTGCTTGTGAGCTAAGTATGAATGCTAGAGAGCTTGAATGTGAGTAATCGCGCGTACCTTCACCTTGAGGATCGATGCCCTTATATAGTTGAGTAGCCGTGATCCTTACGAAAAGGCTCCGGGATCCCTGGGCTGCATAGATAAGATCCGTTCCGTTTCTGAAGGAGAGCATTGTGCCAGTTGATAAGGTTTATCACTTTCCTCCGATTCGGACAGGGTGAGGATGAGCCCTGTTATTAGACGTCGTGATTCTGGGAGATTCGGAGTCTGTTGGGGAAGCTTTTGGAGTCGATTACGTGGCGCTTCGGCTCTTTGGACCCGAACTGGCACCTCGGTTCTTTGGCTCCGAATTGGCAGTTCGGTTCTTTGGCCCCGAACTAAATTAGGTGCCGAGGTGACTTTATAATGAGGTGCTCAAGGTTTCGGGCTCCCGAGCTGCTGGTGAGGCTCCCTTGTTGAGTTGTCACCCTAGTGGCTGATTGCATCCACGTGTACCTCGGTCGCTAGGTCAGGCCAAATTACCCCTCATTAATTGCCTCCCACTCTTCGTGTGCGGGTAGTTTATAGCCAACGCAAGCAGGTTGGCCCAATTTCTTCTTGGCTCACCTCCCGATTTTATGGTCGGATTGATGTAACCTATGTGGCTCAATGGAAAAACCAGGTCGTGTGTCGAGGACGCGCGGACACAATGTGGTTTATAAACTCCGCGGACGCCAAAAATTGCGCTCAACCGAAATCTTTCCTCGAAGAGAGTGTGGCTGGTTTTCAAGAGAGCCGTAGGATCGTGTTGATCTGAATCGTCAGTTCTCGGATACAGTGGCTATAAATAGGGGGGACCTAGGTCCCCTTTTCTTCGTCCTTTCAAGTGCATCCGAGAGTTGAGGTCGTGCTTCCGTTCTTCAGCTCGTGTCTTGTATCCGGGGCAATTCGCTTCTTCTTTTGCCTTTCGGTGAGTTCGTTTGTTTCCTTTTTATTCGTTATGTTTGACCTTAGTTTAGATAGCCTTCTAGATGGGAGCGGCGAGTCCGCTAGGGCCGAGGTGGGTACCTCGGAGCCTTATCTTGCCGAGATGGACACTTTGGCACAGGATGAGGGGCTAATCCGTCCGAGGTAGACTCACCTCGACGAGAGCGAGAAGCTTCTAGCAAATCGGCCTCCTCTCACTGAGGTCGCCTGCCAGACAGCTTCGGTCCGTCTACAATGACAGCGGACAGGCTCCTCTCCTTAGTTGATCGCCATAGACTTCCTAACGACCTCGTTTATAGTATCCCCTTAGGCAATTTTCCTTGGGATCATGGTCATGACGAGATCGTGGTCTTCGAGGAACAACTCGTAGTTGGCCTTCGTTTTCCACTCCACCCTTTCATAATCGAGATCGTCAATTTTTTTGACATTGCCATAGACTAGCTCCACCCGAACTCCATTCGCAATATTGTAGGTACCATTTCCCTTTTTCACGACTATAATCGACCTCTTGACCTCGGCATTTTTTCCTCGATCCTTTTCATCAAGAAGAATTCTGCCTGTGTTCTACCCGAGCATAGGTGTAGTTACTACATGTTTCCTTGCCCTGGGTACAAGTTGTTACACGAGCTCCCTAGCAAAGTCCTAGCCTGGAAGAGGCATTACTTTGTAGTCTGTAATGTGGAAGGGTGGCCCTTCTCAACCCACTGGAGACCTGCCATCCAAGACCCCGACAAAAAGGTGCGGGAGGAAGTCCGGGCTTGGGCGAAGCTAGGCTTGAAGTTCGAGAACTTCGTGACCAAAGAGAAGCTCACGCAGGCCGGCCTAAGTCCTCCCGGTAGGTCGCTTACTGTTGTACTCTTTTTCTTATTTTGTTTTACTTTAATATTGCATTTGACTCTGTTCGTTGCTTTCTTGCAGTCATCATGGCTGACTTCTCTGCCAATGAGCTCTTCAAAGGCATGCAGAAGGGCAAGAAGAAGAAGAGGGCCTCCAAGAAGGCCTGCATTCGAGAGGAGGTTCCCACTTCGGGCGTTGGTGTCACCACCTCCGAATCCCCAGCCGACACCGAACAGCCCCCGGTAATCGACTTGGTCAAGGAGCACCAGGATAGGGCTTCCCCACGCCAATTGCTCGAGGAAACTACGTCTTCTGAGGCCCAGCAAACTTAGGAGGCTGCCCCATCAGGCAACGACATCCCAGTTCGGAGTGATTTGAGCCCGAAGCTTGGTCGCCTCAAGAGAAAAGATGCGGTCTTCCCTGAAGAGGTGACCCGGTGGGCTGAACTACTAGCCTCTCAGCTTGGGGGAAGAGTGGCGACACATCGCATGGTGGTATGTTCCCAACCTTCAATCCTTCTATACTTAGATTTTTCTCTCAATACTTATGTCTTGTTTCTTCTCTTGTCAGGTGAACTCTTCAATCCACACCCTGGCCTACCAGTCCGAGATGAACTTGAAGCGGGCTCTCGAGGCCAAGGAGTCATCTCGCAAGGCTCACTTCGAACTGAACTCAGAAAGAATTGTTGACTGTTCTGATGGCGTAGAAGGAGCTGAAGAAACGTGGGGTGGCCCTTAAGAGAGAAGTCTAGAACCTCGAGGAGTTGGTGAAGGCAAGTCCCAGTCGCTTCTTCGGCTTGGGCAAGTGAGTAGCCCATGCATAGACTGGTTGGGTACATACCCTACAGTGTCCATCCACCTCATCGTACAACAATACTGGGTTTTTCCTACTTGGAGTCTAGCTCGTTAGCTTGGCACTTCGGGATAACCAACACTTAGAAACAAATTTCGGGATAACCAACACTTAGAAAAATTTTTGCACACAAAAGATTTTTTGAATCACTATGCTTCATTAACAAAAAGTTTCGAGTACATGGAAAAAAAAAATAGAAAACAACTACAATCGAGCTTGGAAGCTCGGGACATACGCTATGTATGGGGGGTCCAAGAAAAGAGGCAAGTGGTATCAATCAGTTTGAGGCCCTTCGTCCCTAGTAGCAGCACCGGCAGGATGATCGGTCTCCATATGATCGTCAGTAGCATTGGCGACGTCACCTCCCTCTTCCCCTTCCCACGATCTCTTCGTTGAGGAGGTTGTCGCTCTCCTCCTCCTCGGAGTCGGGGTCCTTAGCTGCCTCGAGGGCCATCTCCTCGGTGATCTTTAATGTTGTGATGGCACTGAGGTCAAGGTGAGGAAATTCCCGCCGGGTCAACCACCTACTGAGCTTGAAGACTTTACGGTAACCCACCGTCCTGGTCTCGAAAAGCAGCACGCGTCGTTCCATTGAAAACTTGTACTCCTCGACGGCCTTGATCTTCGCGTCCTCCATTGAATGAAGTAGGATGTCAGTCTGCTCCTTCACCAGCTCCTCGAGATTCTGGACTTCTGTCTTAAGGGCCACCTTGCGCTTCTTCAGCTCCTCCTTCTCCGCCATCAGAATAGTCAAGAATTCTTTCTGAGATCGCGCATCCCTCAATAATTTGTTGTTCTCGCTGCGAGCCAAGTTCAGTTCGGAGTGAGCCTTGCGAGATGGCTCCTCGGCCTCAAGAGACTGCTTCAAGTTCATCTCAGACTGGTAGACCAGGGTGTGGATTGAAGAGTTCACCTAACAACAGGAGAAAGGAGACATAAGTATTGAGAAAAAAATCCAAGTATAGAAGGATTGAAGGTTGGGTACATACCACCATGCAGTGCGTTGCCGCTCTTCCTCCGAGTTGAGCGGCTGGTAGTTCGGTCCACCGGGTAACCTCTTCACGGAAGACCACGTCTTTGCTCTTGAGGAGGCCAAGCTTCGGGCTCAAGACGCTCCGAGTTGGGTTGTTGCTGCCCGATGGGGCAGCTTTTTGAGCTTGCTGGGCCTCGGAAGACGTAGTTTCCTCGGGCAATTGGCATAAGGAAGCCCTATCCTGGTCCT